AGTTTGCCAACAAGATCCTACAAGCTCTATTCAGTAGCACTGAAGACAAAATATTTTAGCTATGACCCCTGGACTGACTGTTGAACTGGGGTTAGAAAGGTCACAAAACCCAGGGGTCCCTGCCTGGTTCACCTGTAAAGAGAGATGAAGGAACAGAAGTTCTCACTAGAAAAGCAATAGGAGACTGGACGTGGGACGCATATAGAAAACAGCCTTTCCTCCAGAAGCCAACTGTCACTCATTTCCTTCCTCCAGAAGCTGACTGTCACTCATTTCCTTCCTCCAGAAGCCGACTGTCACTCATTTCCTTCCTCCAGAAGCCGACTGTCACTCATTTCCTTCCTCCCTTCTCTCGCTATGTATTATCTGATCATCTACTATACACCGGGCACTGTGCTAGGTGCTGAGGATACAAGGCTGGCTGTGACCAAAACATGATGGCAGCGTATCGAGTCTAGGCCCAGGGGAGGAACCAGCATTCCCAGAGGAATGATGAAAATAATATGAAAGGGACTATACATCAATATGTGCAAAATTAACTGTTAAATGTGATAGAGGTCTCACATTTCTTGTAATTTGTACCAAGAAGTTTGATAAAGAGTTCGAGATGGAGAAGTAGTACAGCTTGAATTCTAGCACACAAAATTAAAATGTGTAGGGCAAAACTCCCGCCTCTTTTCCCCTTCCCCGCAATGAAGAGCAGGTTCCTTCTGGGAAGGCCATCCTAGCAGCACGGAAATTAACTCAGACCAATGAAGAGCAACAGTCCATTCACCTGCCTCCAACCTTAAGGCGTATGATACAAGGGCAATTCAACTCCTGGTGCTCAATTTAAGATTTATTGACTGTAAGTCCATCCATCGAGAAATGACTGTGTGTTCTTTGCCTTTAAGCAAACAATTGTTAAAATAAGAATATATAAAAGGCACTATAGGACACGGAGCCCAGGGCAAACACTCTGCCTAAAGGGCTCGGTGAAATCTGCACAGAGAAGGTGACATCTGAACCAGGTTGGAGGACAAGTGGGGTTTCACAAGGCAGGAAAGAGAGCAAAGTGCATTCCAGGCAGAGGGAACCTGTACAAAACCAGAGCGAAGGAAAATGAATTGTTCTTTGACATTTTAATTTCCTTTCACACTGTGATTCTGCAGGAGACAACTACCGCTCACAATTTCTTGTAAGAAGAGACTAGTGTTTCTTCACATTTTGCTAATTTATTCATTTGTACGAATTTATCAAATACCTATTATGTGCCCAGTAATATGTTAGATCTTGAAGAGAAGACAGAAGATAAGTTGGGCAGGCATTTCTCGTAAAGGAGCAAGCCATCTAAATGCAGAGGAAAGAGTGTAGGCTGGGAGCTGGGGCGCAGTCAGTTTCAGTCCTATTCTGCTTCTTGCTAATTGTGTGAAGCTGTGTTGTAATTTCCACTAGATTTCTTAATTTCCTAATCAATACAAAAGGCATCCTGAAACTTAACATTCAGGGTTGTTGTGGGTATGGGAATAAAATGAATATGTTTGGCATATTATTGATACTCAAAACAAAACAAAACTAAACAATGCCAAAATGTGTTCTCTTTTAGTCTAATTGTTGTCAGGGGTGCCCGGCTCAGAGTGGCTCAGAGGTTGAGCGTCGACCTAGGATCCAGGCGACCAGGGTTCGATTCCTGGTCGGGGCACATGCCCGGGGTGCGGGCTCGATCCCCAGTCGGGGGCGTGTAGGAGGCAGCCTCTCAGTGACGCTCTTATCACTGATGTTTCTCTCTCTCTCTCCCTCTCTCTGAAATCAATAAAGGTATATTTAAAATAATAATCATAACAATTGTTGTCAGGGGAGGACTGAATATCAGCCTGGGCAGTATGTAACTCAGAGCCAGCGCGAATGGTCACTACGCAAGCCAAGCTCACGCACACGGGGGCAGTCACGGAAGGGCTCGCTGAGGGAGCATGATGCGGATGGCCATGCACAAACGATATCTGGAGAAGTAGAGCAAAATTAAATTCAGTTTAGAGAAAAAACACATTTCAGGGTTCACTTTAGAGGAATCGTCTAAAGTGTCTAGAAAAAGCACATGTCTCGTGGAAGCAGAGATGCAGGGGAAAATAGTTTTGTGTTTACGAGCAAGGAGACCCATGGGCTAAAACACACCATATCGTGAAGAGCCTGGGAAAGCAGGGTACACATCTTGGATACTAACCCCAGGACATTAGGGCACAGCTGAAGGATTCCAGGCATACACTGTTCTGGAGGCACGGTGAGGCGTAAGAGAGGAGAAAGCATGACTGGTCCTTCTTATCACTGAGGCCTCACACCGCCCCTCATCCCAGAGTGACCACCCGACCTCTCCGTCTACCTTAAGGAGCCTCTCCCTCCCTGTAACATCGTACTGTGTAGACCTTACCTTGCTTATTGATTCATTCATTCAAAATTATTTTCTCTCCGCACTAGACTTTAAGCTCCATGAGAACGGAAGCATTCTCACTTTGGGTTTTTCAATATTCGCAGCCCTTGGAACAGTATCTGACACAGGGCTGGCTC